AATATCTTGCTCATTCTTTTTACAAAATAATTTGGTACAGATTTTCACCATAATAGGGTGGTGTGTCGCACACAAAACCCAGGTCCGCCGCTCAAAGGTAAAGGTCACACTTGGGGGTCAACGCAAAACCCGTGTCCCGTGACTGTAACTTCTACATGCATGGAGGGATTTTAATACAAATCGGCACAAATATTCTCCATAGTGAGGCGAAGTGTCACGCGAAAAAATCAGGTGCATGTGGCAATGGTCAAAGTCTTACTTCAGGGTAAAAGTTCAAATAATAAAATAAACCATTCATTTGTGAGTATAACTTCTATATACATCGTTGTTTTATTATAACTAAGAACAAATGTTCTCCATGGTGAGTTGAGTTGTCTAGTGCAAAATAAGGAAAAGGCAACTAGATGTCAAAGGTCAAATAAAATACTAAAATTTGTTTGTCGTACTAAATATTGCTTATGTTTGAAACATTTTGAACCAGGCCACCGGGTCAGAGGTAAAGGTCACGTAAGTTTATGTAATACCAAGATTTTTACCTTGGGCATAAAGAGGATGTGTTGCGCACTTCTAACCTATGTATTCCTCTTTCTCTTTGATCTGAAGCTTATAGGTTCAGGTTTCAATTGAGAATGGCGAGTTGGACATTCTGCCCTTGGGCATGTCTTGCATTCGGTTTTACATAACACCAACACTGTAAAAGTCATATTGAAGTCATATTGCGACTTTTCAGCTTTACTGGTAGAGGAAGACCTCCGGTGTCCCTCCGTGCGCTATTTCAGGCACGAACAGGCACCTGAGTAGAACCACCAACGTTCCGTTAGCTAGCTGGATAGCTTTCCCTCATGAAAAAATCATAAAACAACTGCGCAGCTTAAACCTACGGCGCTGAGAGGAAAGTGGTTTTGAAGTCAGCGACCTTAACCACTCGGCCACGGACGCCCCTCGACTTAATCTAAGATACTGCATACTGAAGAATATTTTTAGATATTTGTCAATGATATCATGATTTTAGGTTTTGTTCAATTTTAGCGTCACGTGATTTGAACACTGTAAGTTTATTTAGAAACATGCACAAGGACTATTTCTTTGCTATATTAGCATTCAGCTATGAATTGTTGCAAACTGCGTAATAGTCACAATCAGTTGTTTATAAAAGCTTGATAAATTGCATTTTGATGACACATTTTTTTCTGTACTGATGCAACGTTTGGGCAACAAAACTGTTTCCTTTGCAAAGATGTATAGGAAACCCTAGAATGATATTACCTATTTTAAATTATGGAAGTGAAATATGGGGTTTTAATCAAGGCAAGGCCGTAGAACGTTTACATATACAATTTTGCAAAAGACTATTAGGAGTAAAGAAAAACACACAAAACGACTTTATTTATGGTGAATTAGTAAGAATGCCTTTGCAAAATATGAGATATTATAACATTATAAATTTTGGACAAAATTGTTGACTACAGATGAAAACAAATATATTAAGAAGGTGTATTTAATGTTGAAACAAGATATATTTGAAAACCCAAACAGAATAAATTGGTGTTCATTATTGAAAGATTTATGATGTACTCTTGGTTTTTATGAAGTATGGTTATTTCAGACTGTTGGAGACTCCGAAATGTTTTTATATAATGTGAAACAAAGATTAAAGGATCAGTTTTTACAAAACTGGTCTGGTAGACTAAATAACTCAAGTAGAGTTTTGTTTTATAAATACATTTTAAACCACAGATTTCAACCATATCTTGATTTGGTAAACGTTAAAAAATTCCGTGTTTGTTTATCATGATTACGCGTATCATCACATAGACTTTTTATTGAAAGTGGCCGATGGACTAGACCTGTTAGCACTCCAGTAAATGAACGGAAATGTACGTTTTGTGATAAATTAGAAGACGAATATCATTTTGTTTTAGAATGTGTTTTATATAATGATTTGAGAAGGCAATTTGTACCAGCCTATTATTACAGACGACCAAATATGCAAAAATTTGTTGAATTAATTACTACAGAATGTAAGCGTGTCATAAGAAATTTAAGTACGTACGTATGTAGAAAAAGCATTTACATTAAGAACAAACGAACTTTACAGAGACAACTATTTTTAAACTGATTTTTCAAGATGTAATGATGTGAATTTTGTTATCATGACTCGAATATGCCTTCATTGTTTATCACTTAGCTTTGTAAAATGTAATCTCATTATGTAAAATTATAGTAAATCCATATGTCAATCAACTTGCTAGTTTCGCTTTTGTGCAAGTTTTGACTGGAAATGGAATAAGAATTCGTATTTATTTTATGTACGATTGACATTTTACATTTATGATTTAAAATTTTTGAAATAAAATCCATTGGTCACCAACTTTCCACTTTCGTTTTCGAGCAAGTTGTGACTAGATATGGAATCATTTTTCTTAATACTACTTACTTTACTGCACTATGCTGTATATGCACAGACAAGTGTATTGAATATTAAAAATGTTTATTGTGAGGAATATCAATGTAATTAAAAAAAAACGGGTTGCATGTAGCAGTGCTTATACATATGCGAAAATATATGTGTATACATATGTGTAGATGGTATATATGCAAATTTATGAGCGTGCATGTACTTATGTTTATATATATATATGTATGAAATGTGTGTATGTATGCATGTTTGAATATGTAATTATTATTATTAAATGTTAAATTGCTGTAGCAATATATAGTATGTAAACTATGTATTGACACATGGTTCTATGACCTATTTGTGTTTTGAAAATAAAATCTTGAATCTTGTTCCTTGGTTTTCATTCCTGATAACTTTTCATCAAACCAGGAAAAAACAAAAACAAAAGCATATCACGCAAATAAGAAAGTCTTTTATTGTTAATATCAACACATTTAATACCAAACTATCTATTCCTGTAAGTTTTGTTCTATCTAATATAACTAGAAAATAAAAATGTTAATAAAGATGAACAGTACTAGTCTCAATATAAACCTTCTAATGCAATAAAAATAGCACAGATTACATACAAATGCAAATAAGAAACGTAAAATATCAATCATTTCTACCTTACATTATCTGACATCAATTAACAGATTTTCTCAGATATGATACATATAGGTAAAAAGAAACAAAAAAGCACTTTTCATAAAAACAAATAAAAAATAAACATAACTATTTACACAAAAATATACAAAATCTATAAAAAAAACAAAATCAATATAAAACTTTGTGATAGAATTTACCAATAAGAAGAGCTTTGTTTCAAACATGAACATACAAAGGTATTTAGTGATTTATCCACATAGACGCATATCATGTCAAGATGATGACATGTGAGATAATCCTCTTCAACATGTATATCAATTTCTAACTTGAACATTTACAGTTCAGTGCGTTTATATATACACACGTTAATCAAAATAAATAAACAATACTTAAAAATATTTCTCTTTAAATTACCCCGTATTTCCATTGTTTTTTTTTACTTTAAATAGATACTTTTTAGTTATTTTCATTTAGTGTATAATGATGTTTACGTCCACCGGACGTAACAAAATTAGGATGGTCCTATTTGTGCTATCTTTTGTGATAAATATCTCCAAAACACCTTAATAAACTATACAAAATGTAAGCTATATATTTAGTAATTTTGTTGTGACCTTTTTTTTCTTTTGTACAAAATTTGCACAGGGCAAATTGATATTTATCAAAAAACAATAAATATTAAGTATATACCAAAAAAAAAATAAAACAAACTCTTCTTACTTTAACATGTTTTAAAATATCTTAAATGAAAATACTTTAAGTGTATTTTTCCAAATTATAATACATCAAACACCTTTTTCATATTAATACACAAAATCATTATATAAATAATCATTCGAGACCTGCACAGACCAAGCCAGAAAGTTACACTATTCTCCGTGTCAAAAGAGACCGGGAGAGACCGGGGTTCGGAAGCTACCAGACCGGCAAATAGTATATTCTACTGTAATCCGCATCTGCTTGGTTTCTAAAAGTATTTTCACTTTCGATATAGAAACATTTAAACACTTAAATCAAAATAAGTTGTCTTCGTTAAGCATAACGCTATTATTTTGCCAAACAAACACCCGAGAGATTAGTAATAAAAATAGTCAATATGATACCCTTTGACAATATGATGAAGGACGAGAAAGATACATGCACACACTGTTATGATAAATACATGTAAATGTAACCTAAGACTATTTTACTAAATAAATAAAAAAGAATTCGTTCACATGATGTACTCTTCGTTCTTAATTATTTAAATCAAATCAGATTGTATAGGACAAAACAATTGTAAAATAGATTTCAAGTACACACGCATGTACTCACTATTTAACTTTATTCTTGGTAGAGTAAGATTCATTTTTAATTCAACAGTATTGTATTCATAACATTAAAATTTAATTTGATTGTTACATTTCATTTTTCAAAACAGGTATTAGGCAAATAGAATTTACATTTTCGTAATTATAAGAATTTTTTTTGTAAAAAGGCGCTGAGTAAAATCGTCGCAATTCATACATTTAAAGATAAATTGACAAGTAGATACGACATGTTAAAAATGATATGTTATATTTTAAACTTATTTTACACTTTATATAAAGTAAAATGTCAATAAATAAATCTATTTAAACATATTCATACATAATTTCTTTAAGTTGAAAGGCTACAAAAATGTTTCATGGAATTAAATAAAATTTGTATTGTAACCATATTTTTTTTACTAGAACAAAATTCAGACAAGTTATTTGTTAATAAATCTGTCTTGGTGACTTAAAATAAGCAAAAATCTCCAAAGGGTAGATAACTTTAAAGCAAGAATGGTTTAATGTTAAATGATCCTTTGATCCAATAGCAAGATCATGCTAAGTTCAAATAAAATCTATCAAACATTATTCAGTCTGTCGATATGAAAATCGTAGCAAGAGTCCATATCACACACCATGCCTTGAAGTGTCTGGTAAGATTATGCTAAATATGTATGGACGATTCCTTTGATAACAGCTCTGCAAACTACACATGTCGGCAAACTGCGAGCACAATCCTCACACGATACAAGATGTCCGCAAGGTAAAAACACAATGCACATTTCCTTGTCCAAACAAATCTTACATTTTAATCTGTTTGGTAAAGCATCTGAAAAGAACATGATAGTTATAAAGTTCATTTCCGCTCAAATTAACTAGAAAACCATAATTATACGATAATAATAATAATTAACATAGTTCAGCTGTTGATTTCTAAGGACGTTCTATTGTCGATACAATGATATTGTATCTCAAAGCTCGGAGGATTTTATAAAAATTGCAAACAAATAATTCAAGACATAAAACTGGCAATATCAACAAATATCAACCAATCATCAAACAATTTACGCCCGTTCAGAATTTAGGAAAAGAAACATATGACGTAATTTTCAGTCATTAAAAAACATCGATGGTCTTTGATAAGAGATGAGTATTCCTAAATTTGAAAATAAAACTTCCTTTGATTGCATTTAGATAATATCCTACGGGAGATCTTATTTGTATTTACATTGTCCAAAGGAAAGTCATTTGGTTATGTTAATAAATATTAAGAAACAAATTATATTTATTTGAGTAAAATACTATTCTTATTTGAAATATGTCATTTATCAATTAATAGAATTGCTTGATGGTAAAATTGAATGTATAGAGACGAGATTAAATTTCCCTTTACCAGTATCTGTCGGTCTTTCGTTCTGTTGTTCTGACCTTATTTGTGATTCATTCTGGTCCACACTATTGTTTGTAACATTCAATTTGGTGCATAACATCTTGTAACTTGGAGAGCCACGGTTGTAGATGTTTGGTTCTGTGGCGTTTATGTAATCAAGGAGATCATTTAAAATGATCTCATCACACCCTATTCAAACAGAATCAAACTCTTAAACTACATGGTTATAAAAATGTATTCCAAATTGATATAAGCGTTCGTTCAGACACATTGAATCAAGGTGGGCAGCCCAAGTTACTTTTGGGGTATTGTTGTCACACACTTTCACCCAATTCACCGATTACTTTGCTGCTACTTAATGAATATTGTAAAAATATAGCGCAGGGTACTGAAAAGTCTAAGCTTAACCAGATGCTGTTGTCGACTTGTAAAATGCCTTTGTAGATATTTTCTGAAAACTACATTTAGTTTCGAAATTTTCAAAAGCCGCTATCATTGCGGATGATCATATAGTTTTGTTCTGCAGTTTTGATCCGCTTCGAATTTGATATTTTACTGGTGAAATAAATTCTATATAATGTACATGTTTGTATTTTATTTTTCGGCGTAGCTGTATTAAAATGGATTTTGACCTAGATTTGTAACAAATGAAATTGTTAGTTACAAAATCTTCAGCTAAAAGAGGGTGTTTTTCATTGGTGGAAAGACTGGCTGTTATGAAATTTAAGGACAAATTCGTAATCTTTAGTTTACTTGTCTCTAAGAATAAAGTTGTATTAAAAATATTTATACAATCGTAAACTAAATATCACAACGTTATGACCAAAACAAAGATATATCAAAATACAAAAATATACAGTACATATGACTTCATGTACAATTTATTTTGTTGATAATATTAACAACAAACCCAACTTTTTGTTTTTCAGCCTTTACTTAAACATTCGATTACTACTCACTCGTACTTTATTTGCCGTAGCTTTTCTGTTTGCTATGAAAATGAACGATATTTTTGATCAACAAAAAGATTCTCCAGAGCTGATATGAATTGCGAAAATTAATATATTTAAAATGCAACATTATCATAAAGAATCGCAAAACTTTAAGTATTATTTTTTGTGCGTAATAATAACAAATTAATTTATTCATAGTTATTCGGCGTTTGTTTACACCGGTAGGTAAATTTACCGAAATACACCCCAATTGACTACCTCAATCTGAAACTGTCTCACTTGATAATCAGTGTCATTGATGGGTTATACAAAATTGAGTTTAGTACTTATTATAAGATAAATAGATATATTTCTGTATATATGGAACAACATTTATATTTTACATTCCACATTTAAAGTACATTGTTAAATATAACCTGTGTAGGTGTACGACACGTAGCCATGCCAGTAGGCTTAACTAGTACCTCCACCTCATACCCCTAGTATATACAAAATACTAGTCAAGCTGTGCAATTTTTAATAGAAATCCTTTTTTTTATAAAATACATAAGTATAACTTTTACTAGTAAGGTTATGTTTAACTTTTGATTTAAGTCTTCAATTATTCATTTTCATTGCCAGATAGATAAGAAGGCATTATAAATAGTATAGTTCAGAGTTGATATGTTCCATTGATTGTTTATTACAGTTTGTATTCTTTCATAAATAAAAGATATAATCAACAAAAAATTTTGGTGTTATTATCATGACCTAATAATTGCAGCATTTTATGCACAGAAGTGCTTTAACAAAATGAAGGTCAGATACATATTTAAGTTAATATTATTTAACAATAAAATTCAAGTTGTCAGCTGATTGTGGCCTTTGCAGTCTCTAAATTTGGTAGTGTGATTGGTTATTATCTGGTATTGACTTTGAAACCAGTAGTCAAAAGTCACGGTGACAAAAAAGCTTCTAGCATTTATAATAACATGACTAATTTGTTGACATTATAGGAGCATACATGTTTCAGCTAAGTTTAGACAACTGTCATAGATTATACAAGTAACCACCAAATATATTTCAATTTAGACATTTATATTGTTATAAAGTATAAATATCATTAATTTTGAAAATATTCTAAAGCTATGAGACATTTTGCACTGAATTTACGCCGATTATCTTTTTTAAAGATATTTCTTGTTTGTATTCTAAATTCTTTTAAGCTATTGTGCACATGTGTTATCAAAGCAGAATACTTTTCAGATGAGAATGTAAAACAAACAAACTGAATTCATTCAATTTAATGCTTCTTCTTACTTTTCACTTTCAAATATTATATTTGTATGTCTTTAACGACATAAAGCGAGAGACAGGTATAATTTAAAGAAAAAAAATGATGAAATAGGACAATCAATATTGTACTCATTAAATTTGGTTCCACCATTTAACTCGTTTTTGAAAAAGATGTACAACTTCGTTCTGCAACTTTACAAAGGATGGAAATTGTTCATGACGGACAAACTCTCAATTGTGCACAATATGTCATTGCCAATTTTGCTCGAAATGCGTTTATTTTACTCTAAACAACACATTATTTATTACATGTTCCCCCTTTGCACTCATCACCCAAAAAAACTTTATCCACTTTCAGGCCTAAACAAAGAGAGCTACAAACAAGGGGATTAAACCATACGCACGCATCCTCAAAATTCTGATACCGCGAACACTTTTTCAACCGGTATTTTGAACAAAAACGAGTCACGTAAAGCAATCAGAATAGATTTGAATTTAATTTCTTTTACAAAGAAGATGTCCTTACTTCTAGTTTTAATATTCCAAATATCTTGACACAAGTCTTCCCTTTCTTGTCAGTATATCGCTTTAAATGCGATTTTGATTCTGGATGGTGCGCACACCCGGCGTTGAAATGTTACAGAAATTGAGAAATTGTCATTTAAACTGAAAGTTTCACACAACTTGAAGGTTAGTTTATTGTAGAATCTATTTCACAATACTTGATAAAGTATGCCCCCTTAAAATGTTTAAAATGTACATCGTAAAAAAGGTTTGATTTTAATATTTTTCATTTAATTTGTTTACTCATTTACGTAACACTCTAAACTGATAATTTTTTCGTACATGGCATTTAAAAAAAACTAACTTTTTACAGTCAAGTTTATAGCTCATTTTTCTAATAAATGTATGCTAATTTTGTCGCGAATTCTTCTCCAGACAGTATGAAGGACGATCGACATCGTTTAGATGTTCCTTTTAAATGTGACCTTTCAATAGGCATGCTTTTTTGTTCTTTTCTGAGTACTGTTACTTGACATATTATTAGAAACGTCATACCTCTGTGCCATTGTGGAAAATGAGGATAGAATGAGAAACATTGCCCATAAACTTCGTATTCAGGATCTTAATAGTTCAGTGCTTTAATATGCACTGGCAAACCTTCGTGCATCTATTATTTATCAAAATAAACTTTTCTAAACTAAAATGGTTAATCATTACATTACATTACATCGTCGGTTGAATACTGATATTATATATTCTTTGTTTATAACTTTTGCTCTACGCAGAATGTGCACGCATGAAATGCAACATCCGTTTCTATGGAAAATTCGTATTGTAAAACGGTCTTAATGCTCTTAGGCACACAAATTGTTAAAACTCGTATGATAAAGTAGGGTAAGAAAATTAATTTCAGTGTGGTTAAACAAGGAAATATGTATTTACTTTGAGTGAACTGTGCTATAATATAACACGGTATGGAGTAGATGTGCAGTAATAAAATCACAAAGGCCATAGGCCTACGGGCATCTGAACGACATATCATGCTATATGTATATCACAGAGCAAACAGAATAACGATGTGTTTCCATTCTAACACGTCAAGAAAAACTATATTTGGACTATATTGATAGTGTTTAAATTTGTTCTTGCCTCAGTGTTTCTATTATTAACGCACTCATTCACTATACTAATACATAACGTAGCCATGCTGTTTTTGCGTGTCCGTAAAAATGGTATTGCACGGTCGTGAATATATCCTGACCTGATGACATATGCGTAATATAAACACGACGGTGCAATACCATTTTTACGGAGACGCAAAAGCGAAACGGGTATGTGATTAAACAGAGTATATTGAATGGGTGTAAGTTTAATACTGAATTTCTTGAACGAGTTGAACAAAATAATATTATACGAGTTTCTAGCGAGCATATTATTTTATCCAACGAGTTCAATAAATTAAGTATTAAACTTACACGACTTTAATTAGGAAATAGATATTAATTCTGAGTGCATTGTTGTAGAATAATGCACGGTTTGAGTTCAAATGCGTAGTAATATAATCACGAAGGGCGTTTCCCAGCACTCCATTCTCCATTCGAGCCAAGTCTAACAAAGCTTGTCCATAACAGAAGTAGGCATCTGCACATTCTTTAGCAGTTTCACCGTAGGCTTTTGAGAGTATGGCACAAGCCTCTTGAAACTGGTTCACTGCAGTTGGTATCTCCCCACATACCATATTTCTTTTGCTCTGGGCAAGAATGTTGACAGCTGATTCGATTAAATAGGTACGATTGCATACTACTTTTTGTGAAGACTTTTTATGTTTGCTGCATTAAAGGTGCAATGTAAAATGAACTGCTTTGAAGCATAATCACAAAATAAAATTACAGGAAATTAAAAACCTTTTTAATACACTAAAGGTAGAATTTCATTGTAAATCATAGTCGCAGATTTGAGATATGATTATTTATTCATATTAACATCATTATTGGTTATATATTGATAAAAAAACGAAAGACACAGTTTGTAAATATTTATTACAATAAAAAAAGGTATTTTCCATCTTATGCGACGCGCCGAGGTTATATTTATAATTCCCGCGTTAAGTCGCGGTGGTGCTTGGGATAATCACTTGATACTGTAAATGGCAGCCATTTTACGGGTTTATCCTGCGGAAAAGATATGAAAAAATACTTGCAATTCAATGTTTGTTTGCTACATAAAGATTATCGAATAACTCTTTTTTTCAATAAATTATATTTACGCTGACTTTTGATTTAGCGATTTCACCTGTTTTCTTTGTAGTAAGTTTTCGTTTGGTTAATTAACATAAGTGTACATCTGGTTCTGTGCATTTTTTTCTTTTTCCTTTTTTCCGGTCATTTTATCCTTTCTGGTATTTAGTGTATGTATTTACTGGCCGGGATCCGGGACGCCCGGGATCCGGGATCGTATAAGATATAGAGGAAAACACTAATAAACTATATTTGAAAGGCCATTAAACGTTAAGTTTTTAAAAAAAAATATTGTATGTAATGAACGTTAAATTTATTTAACATATGATATAGATATATTTAGAGCTATCTATTAACAAACTTAAAATGCGGAAATCACAATACTTATAATTATATGCCTAATTAATTGGAAAAATCAAAGACTATATTCTTGAATTGGTCAAATCCCGGGATGTTTTAATACGATCCCAGCTTTTCTGAAATCTAAATTCTTGAACTGGCCAATTCCTGGGATCTCTTTATATTTTAATACCATCCCAGATTTTCTTCAAAATTATATTCTTGAACTGGTCAATTCCCGGGATACCTATATGTTTTAATAGGATCCCGGCTTATCTGAAAAACATCTTCTTAGACTGGTCAATTTCCGAGATCCCTATATTTTTTAATAGGATCCCGGTTTTCTGGCTGAATTAATTGACAACTTGTGTTTACTTTAGGACTTGTGTCTGTCACTCATTCCAATACTAAATAACATATTATAACTTAACTTCGTATAAAGAGACATCTTTATGAATTTTACCTATCTAACATTTTTTTGGTCAAGGTCAACAGGCCATATAGTAAATGTGCATATACATAGGGACTTCATTCTATCTGTTTACATGCATCTTCATATATTATACTCATATTCCTCTTTGTTAAACTGAGAGAACTGGCTTCCATAACTTTATATGTCACTTTTATTTTGATGTTCGCTGAAGTCTCTTCAGCTACCAGAACTGTCATTTTTACATTTAAACACACCCCTGGAAAAAATTACGAATCGAGTCGCTACTAGCTTTTTTAAAAGCTAACCTTGTTCACTGTTTCTTTTATTTAACTTTACTGGGATCCTATATATTTACCGGACAATCAGTTTACCGGACAAAAGTGCCGAATAGTGCTTTATTTTTTACTTCGATTAAAAAATCATACAGTCTGAATCGTACACACACTTTCTATTTCAAAGTAAATAACAACAATACCACTCTCAGGTAAATATTGTTGATTCAGTTCTTTATCTGATAACATGACCTTTTGTTTAATAGTTATTTCATGACCTGGTCATGCGGGGGAATAATCTGTTATGCACAGGCCCGAATATGGAGGCCCTTAATAGGATTTACGTTTAATTCTTCTCAACGTTACCTCAGGAGACAATTGTAACATATTTTAATGATAAAAAGTAATTTGAAATTTAGTCCAAACAGTATCTCGTTGTTGTCTTTACAAAGAAATCCAAATTAAACAAGCAATTATCATAGTGTTGCAAGCATTCCATAAGTCCCATACCGGTTAGAACCCCAGCAACATTCTGTTTTCAATTTTACAAGTGAATGAATGACATGAATGAATTTAAATTTTTTGAGTTCTAAGTTTGTCTATTTCACAGTAATATATTAAGTTTCCCTGCCTAGTAAGGAAATTATGTTTATATAACCTTGTTTAAAGTAAATCCTAAATGAAGAAGTTGGAGTAAAAAATACCAATTTCTCGGAAAAAATCTAAGTTGAAGGGGGACATAATTCTGAAAATAGTCTTGCTAGAGTATTTAACCTTCTCAAAAATGTTGAGTGATAATAAGAAACATATATATGAAGTTTGAAGTAGATACATTAGGAAATAAAGAAGTTATTTAAAAAAGACAACCTTTTTTTCCATAAAAATTCTAAGTTCCAGGGAGGTAATACTGATAATTTTTTGTGCTAGAGTTGTAAACCTTGTCACATATGATGTGGTTGATGACCAGAAACTTATATTTAAAGTTTGAAGTAAACACCTTAAGAAATAAAGAACTTATAGTGAAAAAGCTGAAAAATTTAAATCAGAAAACTTGAAATTCAGGCTATTTGTTGCCATAGCAACCAGAATTTTCAACATAGGAAGAAAAGAAAAAGATGTGCATAATCTCCAGACTGCCATCTACCCATATTTCAAGTTTCATAAAAATATTTTCAGTACTTTTTGAGTTATCACTGAATCCAGTTTATGTGTTAAATTTACCATATTTTCAGACTATTTGTTGCCATAGCAACCAAAATTTTTAACATAGGAAGAAAAGAAAAAGACGTGCATAATCTCCATACTGCCATCTATCCATATATCAAGTTTCATAAAAATATTTTCAATACTTTTTGCGTTTTCGCGGGATCCAGTTTTGTGGACGGACGGACGGACAGACAGACAGACAGACAGACGGACGGACAGACAGACGGACGGAGGGTAAACCTAAAGTCCCCTCCGGTTAAACCGGTAGGGGACTAAAAACATATAAGGAAACGGTTTACGCCCATGGGAGGAAATTCTTCTTGAAATGTAAATAAAATAGATTTTATGGCTTTTGTAACATGCTACACGATGACGAAAAGGAAACTGTATGACAAAGAACAGAATTCTATTTCATACGTTTAAGGACCATGAAGAATCAATACGTTAATTGAGTTAATAGTGTTAATTTCAATTACACCCCTATACTGGCCTATTCGTAACAGTGTCTTTTTCTAGTGACATACTGGTTTTTTCCAATATCTTAACCGTCGTAGATTCCTTGCTAATTATTTAAAGATTAATTTCAATTCACGACTTCAAAAAAATTTGAAACACAATGTCCGGTAAATTGAGTTGTCTACACGATTTTTTCTCTCTTATAATTTCCTTCTTTAAAGACACATTTCTACGGTCAAATGTTTAATTTCATGTTTGATAAAGTAATGTTTACGTGTATTAAGAACCCAAAATTATTTGGGTAAAATTCCATTCTTTTTTATTATTTTAAATAAAAGTTACAGAAAAAAACATCATATTCTGTCCGGTAATATGTAGGATCTTAGTAAATACTCTGTATTTCACTTGTAAAATATATAAAGAGATAAAATAAGAACACAAACAATGTTTCCAATATTTGTTACTCACAAATTGATGTTCATCAACCGACTAAAAAGTCTTTAAGCATAGGCTATAAATTTGACTATAAAAAGTTAGTTATGCAGTGTACGAAAATATTTATCAGTTAAGAGTGTTACATTAATGAGTAAATATATATATTAAACTCGGACCTTTTTAGGATGTACATTTTAAACATTTTAAGGGAGCATACTTTATCACAGGATTTGAATCTTATTTTTCATTTAAATTTTCTTATTTTGCCAGTGTTATTAATTTGATCCCGTTATGAACTTAGACTGCTTCGAAAAAAGTGTAGGCAGAATCAATAACATATAAATGTGTACGCAGTATCTTGATTTTTTTTGAGAGTGTACGCAGTATCATATTGTCTATTTCCTGTAAAAGGTTCGTTTTAAGACATTTTTCGTACAAAGGAAAAATAACAAAGATTGAAAATATATAAATGAAACAGGTTCTACAATAAACTAACTTCCAGCTGTGTAAAACTTTCAATTTTATCGACAATTTCTCAATTTCCGTAACATTTCAACGCCGGGTGTACGCACTATTCAGAATCAAAATCGCATTCAAAGCGAAATACTGAAAAGAAAGGGAAGACTTGAATCAAGGTATTTGGAATATTTAAACTAGAAGTAAGGACACCTTCTTTGCAAAAGAAATTAAATTCCAATCTATTCTGAATTTTTTACATGACTCGTTTTTGTTCCAAATAACGGTTGATAAAGTACTGGCGGTATCAGAATTTTGAGGATGCGCACGCATGGTTTAACCACCTTGACAAAGTAACCAATAACAGAACAGTACGTGGTTTTTGTATACATTGCTTGCAATGTATACAGAGTTATAGCTGTATTTCAGATTTAGTACACCTAACGTGTTTCCTGAACAACATCCACCTTTGGATGAAACCTCGATAAAAGTAGATCCTCATTTTGCAGGATTGTCACATTAAGATCACTTTTCATGCTTTTTATTAATATACTGTTGGCATAGTGGTCAATAAGCTTTGAAAGTTCAAAACTATGCACTTTCAGTTCAAATAAACATTTTCTAAACATGAAAGCAAAAAATATGAAAATTTCTATTTCATTCATAAAAGCATTGTGTAAACCTACGCTTCAAACTTCGTATCCACGCATGCGCGTGCAAAAATGACTGAATTACGACAGACTCTGTATAAAAATATGTCCAACACCCAAAATTAATATTAAATCAAACAAATAAACCTTATTTACTTTTAAATATAGACTTGCATACTTTTTCTATTTCAAGCTGTTTTAGAAAACGAGCATATACAGATATATATGTCTTATTTAGTGTTATGTAACGTTGT